AGTTATATATATTGCCAAACAAATATGACAAATTGTTATGATTTATTAGTTGTATTGTCAACCGAATGTGACTTTCCCCAGTAAGGAAAGCATCTTATGGGACACAATGGCACATGAAAGCTCCAATATTTTAATGTTAGAAACACCTTTAAGATTAACCAACTTGCTATTCTTGACCATTTTATATACATCACATATAAAATATGTACATTAACTATCGCTTAGACTTTTAATTGAAACAAAACATCTTTTTTAATTGAAACAAAATATACACTTCAATAATTATATATTCAATCCAGCTCTAAAATAGGTGATTAAGTGAGTAAAATATTATTATTATATTTAAATATAACGAGTTTGATTCTAGCTAACACATATTTACGATTAATGAGCAAATCAAGTCCATAGCACGTGAGGGTTCGCAGGCATGCTATTACATAATACTCTATTGACAATGTTTTTCTAATACTATTTATCTTTATTATATGATTTGTAATCTATTACATAAGAGCTCGTCGTAACTAGTACACAAGAAATTGTCGCACGTAATTTTTTTAGTATAATTTACTTCTCTTTGTTGATTTGTGAGTTATTACACAAAAATTCATCACACAAAATTTGTTGTGTGATTTACTTCTTTTGTATAATTTATCAACCATTATCCAGTACTATGATTTACATAGTGCATACACTAAAAAATGTGTTATATATTTAGTAATTAAATTAAAAGAAATTAATTGGTAAATGGTTGGGGATGTGGGAAAGTGACAAGACAATGTGGGTAAAAGTCCAACCCGGAATGTGGGGCCATGAGTTCCAAACTCCGTTGAGGAAAACTACATAACGGAACGGAAGGCTGCAATTTCGTACTCAAAATAAGATTATGTGTGAGCTGAGGATTGAGACATTGTTGTCTCCATGCTCTTGGGGATGTGGGAAAGTGACAAGACAATGTGGGTAAAAGTCCAACCCGGAATGTGGGGCCATGAGTTCCAAACTCCGTTGAGGAAAACTACATAACGGAACGGAAGGCTGCAATTTCGTACTCAAAATAAGATTATGTGTGAGCTGAGGATTGAGACATTGTTGTCTCCATGCTCTTGGGATTGTTTGCTTGTTTTGGATTGTGTTTTGTCTTTTGATTTAATTAGTCCAGATGGATTAGTTAGTGGTTAATCTGATGCTTCTTAACCCAATTCATCCACTCCATTGCCTTCTAAAATGTGTACATGGCTTGTAACCTAGCGCTCTGGACTAAGATCGGGTCATGTCCAACCCTCACCCCACCACCTCTAATCACTAATCTAGCCCAAGTCTCTAACGAGCCTAGCGCTCTGGACTAAGATCGGGTCACGCTCAACCTTCACCCCACCACCTCTAATTACCAATCTATTTATACATACTTTCTCGCCCCTGGGATTCAAACCTGAGACCTCTTATTTGAGGGGCTACAACTATGTCGTTCGACCACGAGGTCTTTGACTAATAATTTTGAATGTATTTGTATGGATAATAACATTATGTTGGTATTAATCGTTATGTTACTATAGAAAATTAACAATGTTAGAGTTGATCACAAATCGACTAGACCATAATTAATTCTAAATATGTTTTAAAATATCAAGTCTGAACTGAGATTGTCTCATAAATCGTTAATTTTTGTCCTTCTATAGGAGGTTTATGCCTTTGGTTTGGATCTGGCCAACTTTAGGCAATGCCTAATCCCCTCCAAACCATATCACCTTTAACAAATATGATGTAATAACATGATATGAATTAGTACATATTGAATGAATTTGTATGGATAATCTACGAAATTATTCTACATGGGAGAAAAAAAATAAAATAAAAGATAAACGGCGGAAATGGAGGAAGACAATGATGGTGAAGCCCACCTCAAATGTTTGTTGAAATGTGAGGGAATGGTTTGAAAATTAAAGCATGCGGACAAAATGTTAATGATTTTCATTATGTGGTTAGTGATTAAAAAGCAATTTTTTAAGAAAAGAATTATTATTATTATGAGCCATTACGGAATGGTGTGCAGTGTTTTAAGAGTTTAAATAACACGTAAATTACACAAGAGAGGTTATCAAAGAGCGTGTGGTATGCATATGATAATATCTACTCTTGTGTAATAGTCTGGGTGTATACGTGGTGAACTCCGGTCTTTGTTTCTTGTAATAGTTCAAACAGTAATAAACCTAATTCTTGTATAATAACACATATATTACATAGGAGTATGAAGATCCTGCATGACAGACTCAACCAAGAAAATATTATCAAGAATTAAACTTGCATTGTAATCTTTAAATAATAGAGTCATGTTTTATTCTCTCCACCTCTTTGCTTTTAAACTTATTATTATGAATTATGATGGTGGTCGGAGTAGTAGCTCCTTCTTCCTTTTTTTTTTTTTTTTTTTTTTTTTGCGAATTTTCCCAATCACAAAATTACTCATTCAACCGTCGGATTTGACTCAATAATTAAGATCGAATCATGACTGCTGTTTGACCATACTGTAATAATGTCACCATCTTGGTCAAAATATATTGGGCAGGTAGTCCCAATTGATTCTAGGAAGTATTGGGTATTTGGGCCGCCCATTAACATTGTCCCTATGTTCACAAGGAAAGGAGCCCATTTGACAAGAGGCCCAAGAGATTCTAGATATGAGGCCCATATGATTGCATTGGTAATCTTGGGCCTCTTGGCTTTGGGTTGGTTAGATTTATCCTATAGCCCCAAAACCCAATCATTATTGCATGGACAAGGTCCACACAATTGTGTAGACCATAAATAAAAAGTACATTTTTAATAGGAATAAGGTTCAAATTGGTCACTGAACGTAATCTGAAAATACAATTAGACTACTAAACGAAAAAAAAAATGTGCAATTAGGCCACTGAACACGCTAAATGTATGCAATTTCACATGATAGCAGGTTACTTTAAATTTCAGCAGGTTACCTACTTACCTGGCAGCTGAATTGACATTTTTAATAAATTTTTAAAAAATTAAAATTAAAAAAATTAAAAATTATTTTTTTTTAAAAAAGACAAGGTGGCAGCCGGCCACCCCTTCCCTCTCTTCCTTTGTCTCCGGCGGAGACGAAGGAGGGGGAAAGGGATGGCATGAGACGAAAGATCTGTCTCACGTCACACCCCCCCCCCCCCCCCCCCTTCCTTCGTCTATGCCGGAGACAAAGGAAGAGGGGGAGGGGGTGACAGGCGACCACGCTGTCGTTTTTTTTTTTTTTTTTTTTTTTTTTTTAATTTTAATTTTTTTAAAATTTATTATTAAAAATGTCAACTTAGCTACCACGTAAGAAACTAACCTGTTGAAATTGATAATAATCTGCTATCAGGTGAAATTGTATACATTTAAAGTGTTCAGTGGTCTAATTATATATATTTTTTTTAAGTGTTCAGTGGCCTAATTACATGTCTTGTACTTTTCTTATCTTGTACTTTAAAAAAAAAAAAAATCATTTGCCTCAACGTCGAGGCAAATGATTTATTTTTGTTTTCTTCTAGTAAATAAATTAAAAATAATAAATACTCCTTAATAAATAAATAAATAAATACGCAGTAATTGTACTGTTTACTTATTTAAACTTTTATTTATTTATTTTTGCATCAATGGAATCCGTATGTTGTGGCCTGTGGGCATTAAAATCCGTACCTGAAGAAAATTTTACTCATTTTAGTGTACGTACTACAATAGTTTTATATTGTGGTGTGGTATGGACAACAAGCACTATCTTTTTCCTTTTGTATTTTTTAATATGAAAAATGTTATATTTACTCCTAATTTTTATTCACACACAAAATCTATGAATAAGTAGAAGAAAGCAAACAATATAATTAGTAATTAAAAATGAGAAAAGTATTAGGAACATTAATTCATTATTGAATGTAATACTCATATTATAAGTTGGTTCTAACTATTAATTACTAGATTACTCCAAAAGTAATCATATATTTTTAGTTGTTTATATGTCATTTATTTGAATATATAAAACCCATATTATCACATCAATACCTATAAAAACGCTATTAAGTTAATCTAAAGAAATGGGGTAATACACATTTGACACAAATAGAGAAACTTTATAACCAGTATGTAGAATCTACAAAGAATTTTCAAAATGTAAAAGAAAATTTGGCATATATATATATATATATATATATATATATATATATATATATATAAAGATTACAAAGGTAAAGCATAGATTGACAAATAACATCGGATTATTAGTATTGGCAACAAATGGATGATTGAGTAGCTTATCAACACCAGTTCATGTGACGTTTGGGTTTCTTTCAAAACACCTCATCAAAAAATTATTGGCACGATCAGATATGTCAGTTGGGATTTGAAGACTCTGTGTAGAGCGAACTTATCGTCGTTGTTACTATTACAGAACATTCAAAGTGATTCTCCAGCTATCATCTCCGCCACCATGAACCCTATGGCCCATATATCCTTAGCATGCACCTCGTGCATGCATGTCGCAAAATACATCAAAAAATAGATTTTAGAATTCTCTATTTATCTTGTTGATCCCAAAACTATTCTCAAGAATGTAGAATTCACATGTAACTACACAAATACTCTTATAGACACAACCATTTATACCCTAACACTGTCATTATTAGATTTTAATTTCATCTGAAATCCATGCAACTAAGAAAAGAAAAATAAGAATCTTACATAAGCTAAGTAATAGAGCTACTCTTACATTACACATATATAATTTCTACAAAACAATATGGATGCGTTCAAGTATATACTCTCTTCCAATATGAGGGAGATAGAACATTAGAAAACAAACAGAATACATGCAATTATATATGAAAAGTACTTTTTTTTTTTTTTTGCACATATAAATTAATAATATGATTGACAACGCAAACTAACAAGAAAATCAGACACAACTAAGCAAGAGTCACGAATTGATGCTCAGCACGCTCCATATACATACCATTCACTAACAATTAACTTTACCTGCTTCACAGTTTCATTATATTTTGAAGCTTCGCAAAGATATGACAGACATTGGAATCAATTAACTTTACAGCCTTTTATTTAAAAGATGCCATTTATTTATTTTTAAAAAAGTTTAGAAGATATTAGCTTCTTTTCAAAACACTTATATTATTTCAAATATGCTGCTATTTATTTATGAACATTAATAAATAGAGCTTATGGCATAATAAGCTCCAAGAAACGGAGCCTTAGTAGACAACCTCAATAGTCTCAAACCCATTGTGAATGGATGCGTTGACTGCATCCACCACCAGCTGCGTCTTCCGGCTGATAACCGCCCACTTCTTCTCCGGCGCTCTTCCACTCCCGGCGAGATTACAGAACTCCATCACCATCAAAACATCCTGAGGAAGCTCCGCAGCCACACCGTGCTCAATTAACCGATAGCTTTCGAAGGTGTAGAACGGCGCAGACTGTGGTGCGAAAGGGATGACGAAGTCGTGGACGCGCAGCTTTCCTTTGGTGCCGTAAGCGCAGATGTCGGTGGAAAAAATGGCCAAGAAAGAGCAGTAGAAAGTGGCGACTCTCCCGTCTTTCCATTTCATAGAAGCGCCACAGGAGAGAATGACCCCGGCTTCGTTCACCTCCGGCTCGCGCACCGCCGTGACGGATTCCGGGAGTTCGTAGTCGTTGGCCCATAGGATGGCGTGGATGCAGTACCAGCCGGCGTCGCCCAGAGCTCCCAGCCCATCAAGATCTGGCTTTACGCGGATGTCGTTCTTCAGAGAATCCGCGCTAACCAAAAACGAAACGATGCTGTGAACCTGCACATACAATATATATATATATATATATATATATATATATATATATATATATATATATATATATATATTTTTGATATTATTGAGGATATTATTGTAAATTCATCCATGTAACCTAAAATATATCTGTAATATTATATTTCAAAATCCAAACCAAACACATAAGTAAATCTTATATTCCCAAAATTTCACATTAGAGGTAATCTTATTACCTGGAGTAATCCAAGATTATGTGAATCAAATGCTCCATAATAAAATATAACAAGGAGGTAAAACAGTTACTCTAAGTTGTCCATAGCTAAAGACTTCAACTTTTAAAAAGTTAATAGGCGATTTTCACCGAGAGTGAAATTGTTTTTTTGCCTACAAAGTGAAAATTTCCTTGCCCTAACAGCATGTACCTTTGGTTCACGGAATAAATTTTGAGATAATAGGAATGCTATTCCATAAGGAATAGAATATGAATTGTACTCTATTGTTTGGTTTGCGAAAGGAAAGACTTTAAGAATTATATTACGGTGTTTGGTTGGTTTAAGGAATAGCAATAAAATATGTTTTAAAAGACATAAATACCCTTATAAAAATATGTGATGGTGGTGCTGGCGGCAACGGTGGTGGTGAAATAAGAAATAAATTTAATTGGGGTAAAATATGAAATAGCAACTTTAGGTTATTCCTGAAAACTCAGGAATAACCTAATACCAGGGTTCCATGAATCTCTATTCCCCTTGCAAGGATAATAAGTCATTCTCAGGAATAATATAGATGTTTTTACCAAACAAAGGAATATACGTATAGAATGCTATTCCATTTCAGACCTATTTTGGAAACCAAACCTGTCATAAGACTCTCATACCTCAATTGGAGAAGGTAGTTGATGAGTAAATCATGGTAACTAATATCCTGTGCCTAAGACCCACCATGCTAGGGTTTAATGTCTACGATACAATCTATTTGCATCAGTGTAATGTTTCTCAACATAATATTTTCTCTCCAATTATATGGATTACAATTTACAATACTGTTTCTTTACTCCGTGCTGCAACAGCCGCTAAAAATGAATAATGGGAAGAAGCTAAGCCAAGAAGAAGGAGAAGGAATGGAACTTACGGATTTGAGTTGGCCAAAGCGCAGAGGATCAGAGAGGAACTCTTTCATCTTAGCAGTTCGAGGATGATGCGTCCACACGGTACCATCCATGAACTGAACCCCACTGGACTCACACGCCGCCAGAATCTGGTCCAGCTCCGCCACGTTCAGCGCCGCCGGCTTCTCCACCAAGATGTGTTTCTTCTTCTGCGCCGCCAGGACGGCCCACCGCACGTGGAGGCTGGTGGGGAGAGGGATGTAAACGGCGTCCACGTCCGGATCATCCAGCACGGCGTCGTAGCTGCCGTAAATTTTCGCGGTGGCGGGGCACTCGGTCTCTGCGGCAAACGCTGCGGCCTTCTCCGCCGTGCGGCTGCCCACGGCGGAGATGGTGGCGTTCGGAGCCAGCGATATAGCCCTGGCCAGCTTGCGCGCTACGGTGGCGCAGCCCAGTATTCCGAAACGGATTTGTTTCTGCTCAGCCATTTTTCCCGGCGACCACCACGAATTGAAGAACACTACACAGACCTGAGCTCCACGTTTTGTACTTATACAGGAGAAAGAAGGGGAGCGTTTGGGCATGTGGGGACCTCTGTCAACACGTTTTTGTATTTATCTATTTTCTTAGAAAATGATACTTTTTTTATTGAATGATATTGATGCTATTAAAATGTAGTATCTCTTCATGCATAAAAGGTCAATGTCCCCATTTGAATTTAGACCTCTCACTTGAGGGGTCACGGTTATGCTGCTTGACTACAAAGCGATTGATAGAAAATGATACTTATATTTTAAAATTATACTCTTAACTTTTATTTCATTTTTCAAAATTTTAATATTAAACATTTTTTTTGGAACTCAGTTAACTTATCATCAGTTATCATATCATGAAGTAAAAGTTAGAAAATAGAAATAAGGAGTTCAGGTGGTAAAATTCATAATAATAAATAATTTTTTAAAAATTTTATTTTATTTAAATTTAATATTTGAATTTTTTTTTAAAGATTAATATTTGAAATTTTATTAGAAAAAATATGAAAGAAGAGTGCACTGCAGGGTTAATTCAGTCGGTTTGACCGATTACCTTAAAGCTTTGCACTAGTGACCTTGAGAACTTGGGGGTTATTCTAGTGTAACGGCAGACAAATAATTTGAATGTCATTTAGAATTTAAATTAAAATATACAATACAAAATACACCCGATTCATGATATAATTTTTTGATATGGAAAAAATAAGAAAAATAGGAAAGAAGAGTTATCAACAACGTTTCACGTTTTCTTTTGCATGTCTTGCATAAATAAAATCCGTAGTACGTGAAGGACTTTTTTTTTTTGAAAACAAATGAATATTTTACATGTTTCACCAAATCCAGCAAGGGTTCGGGCATGCACGGATGGATGACCAAGAAACGTAAATTATTGCTTATAAGGGCAATGTAGGGGTTTGAAATAATGTGTCTCCAAGTTTGTATCTTAGCTAAACTTTATTTAAAAAGTGCATTTAACAAGTCTAAGAGCATCTCTAATTTGGCGATATATCTGCAAATTTCAACGCTATCCCTCCATTTTCTCAAATTTTTGCTCTCCAAGGTGAAGATGCAAAACACCATATCGCCAATATTATTGGCGTTGATGAATAGTGCCGCGCCATATATGGTGTGGCACTGTTCATCAACGACAAATCTTAAATGGGGAGTAAAGTTATCATTTTGCCCTTGCTTTTTTTTAATAATTCCAAACATATCCTTTATTTGTTTTATATAATTTTTTTTTATTTTGTTAAATACTTATATTTAAAGTTTGTATTATATAAATTATACCATTTTAAATATCTCATTGAGACGATCGAAACAAGACTAATATTGAATATATATATTAATTAAAATTTTAAATACATTAAACATAACTAAAACATAATAAAAATTAAAATATATATTATTATTGTGGAATAAATTAAATTTTCAAAAATATTGTTAAATTTTATTTTTCAATAATTAATGTTATGAAAAATTAATATTAATAAAAATTATTATTTACATCACAAGTTATATTTTATATTAAACTTATTAAGTTCGAACAAAATTATATTAAACTAATTAAATTCGAATTAATAATTGAGAAATTAAATTATTTTAGTGTAGAAATTTGGTGTTTTGGTGTAAATGGGTTGGGGATGAATAAAATTTGGTGTTAGAAGATGCTAAGAATATTCCTTCTGATGTGACATTTGGTGAAAAAATTTGGTGTTTTGGTGTTAAGTGGGTTGGAGATGCTCTAACGGGTCATTATGTGTTATATTATACCTTGTATGTATAGAATTCAATTATTATACCATGGACATGGGTTCATATTATATTGTGATATAAAAATTTCGTACTTCCAGTTAATATATTTTGTACCTACAGTTAATAATTTCTGTACATATAAATAAATAATTTGATAATTGCTGACACATAATATGATAGCTACATGTACATAATATGATAGCTACATGTACATAAATTATTAACTGCAGGTACAGAATGTGTCAACTATAGATACATAATTTGATGTTTATTTTTGGATCAGGGTCTATCTTTCAAGGTAGACCCTAGTCCATGGTATAATTTGCCATATAGAATTTTAATACGGTCAGTTTTACGACTTTAGATAGAGGGTGGGCAACACAAAATTGAAACATGCATGTATTACATCTCAATTAAATATCTAAACTGCTAGTTAGATTGCACATTACCCCCCTCGCGTGTGTGAACCGATACTTTTGACAAGATTCAATCAACACGTGAACCAGGGGTTGGCTCTGATATATACCAAATTGAAATATGTATTACATCTCAACTAAAATTCTAAGTTGATAATTGGATTGTACGTTTATGTTTATATATTATATGCTCAACACATACACATAGGGCCGAATTTTAGGATGTGCAAAACTGCAAAATGCCAAAGAGCACATGACTCCAATTTTTAGAGTACCACTTTTTATTGTTGACCTAGCTAGTTACTCAAGAAATAAAAAAAATATGCAATTAATCTTGAAACTCATCAGTTTTTTTCACCAAATCACTTCTCTATCATAATAATGACCTAATTAATTGAGCATGCCGCATGGCAAAACCGTTCTATTTCCCCAACAGATGTCTCAAGCCTTAGCTTGAATATGCATAGATAACTTGAAACTTGTACTATTCACCAGTTTCCACCAATATTGCCTGAGAAATTGATTCTTCACCCTAATAGATCGTTCTACTTAAATGTTGTGCTTATACTTTTAGTAGAACTTCATTTATTTACAATAACGAGTCGAGGTCACAAAAATTCAAAAACCAACACGGCATGCACAATCACTCTAGAGGGTGAAGAAACAAAGGAATATTGCAAGTGGTGATTTGAGAACAATGACAACGTTATTGGCTTAGAATATCAAAAAAATCAGACCATAAACCCTTTCCCTAAGGGTATTTATACATCCACTTTGCTCATAAGCATATCTTGGATCGTGTTAAAGGACATGCTCTATTTTAACTAAAAAGTTAAGTTGATAATACACCTCTCGACGAGTTAAACGGTCTATCTCAATGAACATATTAGATCAAGCATCCCCCATCTGCTATGCTTCTCAGATTCGAGAGATAGAAGGCCACATGCATGGATTAGATCATATATATGTTCTTGGGTAAGTTGGAAATGCTTCACATGCTTACACCTGCTTCAAAATGCTCATCCACGATTAAATTAAAGTTTAAACTAACAATGAGATGGTACATTATCTGTGACGTTGCTCATATTCAAAAGTGTTATTAAATATTAACTCATACAAATGTTATTAGTAAAGTTGAAATTCATGACTAACAATGTTGGTCTCAAAATTTGACACTTATTAGATAAAAGGTTTGGTTCCATATATGCTTACATATGAAATTCATGACTATCAAAGCATGGACTATGATAAAAACTCTAATAATTGATGAAAAACTACCCTTACTCAATATTATTTAAAGGAATAACTGAATTGCACATAAGTGTACGTACAATTTGGTGTTGCATTTTGAAGTTATATTAACATGAACTATCTCTTCATAGATTTAAAGGACAATTCAAATTCATAAAGTCCAAAATATAGTTTTAACGAAATTAGAAAATATTAATAAATTAAAAACGCATCCCTAAAATGGCATGAAACATATACTCATAATAAGAATCAAACGTCCGCATGGGTAGCTCAACTGGTCATAGAGGTGAAACTTTGAAATAATGATCGCAGTGAGTACCAGTCTAGCCTCTATGGTTACTATGATTTAAATCCTCCCAAAATGCTCTGTCGAGCCAAGGTGAAACTTTGGAATAATAAGAAATCCTCCCAAAACAGTACGTTTTATTGGAATAGATTTATTTAGTAGATATTATATAAAAATTTTCTACTTAGTAGACCACCTCAATAGTCTCAAAACCTTTCTCAATAGATGCGTTGAATGCATCCACCACCAGCTGCGTCTTCCGGCAGATAACCGGCCACTTCTTCTCCGGCGCTCTTCCACTCCCGGCGAGATTACAGAACTCCATCACCATCAGAGGATCCTGAGAAAGCTCGGTGTTCACAACGTGCTTAGTAAGGCGAGAGCCTTCGACGGTGTTGAAGGACGCATAGTTTTCCGGGAAACTGAGGATGAAGTCGTGGACGCGCAGCTTTCCGTCGGTGCCGTAAACGCAGATGTCGGTGGCCATACTGGCCATGAAGGAGCAGTAGAAAGTGGCGACTCTCCCGTCTTGCCATTTCATAGAAGCGCCGCAGGAGAGAATGACCCCGGCTTCGTTCACCTCCGGCTCGCGCACCGCCGTGACGGATTCCGGGAGTTCGTAGTCGTTGGCCCACAGGATTGCGCGGATGCAGTACCAGCCGGCGTCGCCCAGAGCTCCCAGCCCATCAAGATTTGGCTTTACTCGGATATCGTTCTTCAAAGAATCCGCAGTAAACAAAAAGGAAACGATGCTGTACACCTGCACATTAAGTTAGCGGATTGCAAGCTTGCTAAATTAGTAAACTATGTAACATGGAATGGAACTTACGGATTTGAGTTGGCCAAAGCGCAGAGGATCAGAGAGGAACTCTTTCATCTTAGCAGTTCGTGGATTATGCATCCACGCGGTGGCATCCATGAACTGAACCCCACTGGACTCACACGCCGCCAGAATCTGGTCCAGCTCCGCCACGTTCAGCGCCGCCGGCTTCTCCACCAAGATGTGCTTCTTCTTCTGCGCCGCCAGGACGGCCCACCGCACGTGGAGGCTGGTGGGGAGAGGGATGTAAACGGCGTCCACGTCCGGATCATCCAGCACGGCGTCGTAGCTGCCGTAAATTTTCGCGGTGGCGGGGCACTCGTTCTCTGCGGCAAACGCTGCGGCCTTCTCCGCCGTGCGGCTGCCCACGGCGGAGATGGTGGCGTTCGGAGCCAGCGATATAGCTCTGGCCAGCTTGCGCGCTACGTTGGCACAGCCCAATATTCCGAAACGGATTTGCCT